ACTCATACGGCAACATAGACATTATTACACTTTAACCCCTTATTGTAGCTAATTAAAAGAATACGTCTTTATATTGAATGCATGCGGTAAGTAGACACGATTCAACAAATGTCCTCTTTATTACGCACTGATTGTTTGTTGTGCGTGGGGATGGAATGTTTTTACAAGCCCAACTAAAGTGTTTAGACTGATCTGTGTGTGTGTTGCATTATGTATTTAAACTCTTTATGATGAACTGCATGCCTTGGGTTTGAATTTAAAAAAAGTCCTACAAGGAATGCATTGGTCTTCATAAATTCGGATCAAATATGCCACTTAGTTGTTTTTGTTTCTTTGTCCATGTATCAACGTAATTAACATTTGTTTTTTTAAGCATTATGTCACCTTCATGAAAACAACTGCAGCAGGTCGTCACTCTGTAACAGCAACTCACAGCGTACCGGCTTCATATGAGTGAAGCTTGCATTCTGCACGACGATATGCAACGATGTTTCAGTGCAATGTGATGTTCGGGCTGTTTTGTCATGCGGAGCGGTTTCTAGAGATCTCTTCTGCTCCCTGTAGCGCACAGATTCATCCACACAAACAAACAAACAAACAAACCACCCACACGCGGAGGAAACGTCATGACGAAATGGTACAGTTGAATAATGTTGATGAAATAAAACCTGCTTAACGCACACACACACACACGCGCGCGCACACACACACACACACACACACACACACACACGCTCCTCCTTGGCCCCAAACGTCAAGAAATTGTTTTGTTTGTCTTTATAATTTACGACAAAATATTTTGAGCTCGCGAGTGACCTTGTGTGAAGTTCTTCACAGTTGAGAGATTAAACATAAAAACGTCCTGACAGCTTTTATCGCTATCCGTGTGTTTAATTGTCTCAAAGATCAATGCAAAGTGCTGACCTTAAAGCGCCATGCGTCCGTCAGCATTACCCATAACTTCGCAGTGCGCGTAGTGTCATTCTTAGTGTTAACAAACTTTATACCAAACGGTTTTTTTTAGTTTTTTTTTACTAAAACCAAACTGCATGAAGGTGTCTATTGAGCTTTCCCACATATTCTTTCTATTGTTATTCTATAGAAGTTACAGTCTAGTGGTTTCCAATCCGCACTGGAATTTAGCCCTGAAACGCCAGCAGCAGCATAATGGCTTGTCTCTGCTCCCAGTACGGCCCCTTCAGGCTCCACCAGCAGCAGCAGCCGTGCCGGGGCCAGCCATACCTGCCTGCCTGCCTGCAGGCTCCCCTTATCAACCTCGGGTCTTTGGCCTGGACCATATACTACAGAGTCCCATTAATCAGGGAAACATCACGTCAAACATGGCAGACCGAGCGAAGGGCAAGTCTGCTCAGGGACTCGAAAAAGTTGCATAGTCCTGCACTGTACAGTTATGTACGTCGAAAAGCCTTTGGGGCGAGTTTAACTGTTTTCCTGCAGGTATTTGTGGCTATGAATTATTTCTTTGTATGTTATCCCCTAAGACATCGATATATTCTGGTCTTTTCTACTGCAGGACTGTATAGTTGTTATCAAAGGGGATAATGATTCTGTGTTATTCTCTGTAAGCCTCCCCTAAATAAAGAAGCTACAATGTTTCTATTGTGCAATGTTCAGATTCCCTGCAGGACTGTAGTTTAAGCCAGTTTATTGATATTTCGTGTGTGTGTTTCATGTATTAAACCAGGAAGGCTTGCAACGACCTTATATTGCAGCGGTTGCATGCGTAAATGTCTGCGGTTTGCCTCCTGTTATTATTGTAGGCTCCGCAGACCTACCACTCCCTCCACCACACAGCTCCTAAACACACCGGGGAAGGGGTTCCCTCGCCAGGACTGTTATGTTATTAGGAGTTTACCCAAAGTGAAAATACTGAGCAACTTTAGATGCTCAGGTTTTTATCTGCTGACAGTTCGGATAAGCACCACTTTTAACACTATTCAGGATCTATTTCCTGTCAAACCTGACACTTATTTGCCTCAGGACAAAACCCTTATCTGCTATTTAATTGAAGACTCATTATGTGTAACTTCCCCTTCATTCTTCGTGAAATAATACGTTACAGACTAATGTGAAAAGCAGGAGACATTTAATAACACATCAGAAAATAATATATCAAAGATGAACAGTGGCTGCGTTCAAAATATAAGAAAATGAATAAAAAAAACTCAAACCCCGTGAACAAGTTAGAATTTACCTAAGTTCTTTGTTTTCAAAACCCTCTGGCTACGCGATCCCGTGCCATCATTAAATCTCTTCACAACAACTCTTCCTCAATCAGAACAACACCTGATTGTCCAGCAGTGAAGAAAGAGAAAGAGTCTTTTAATTTCACTCAGTCGCGTTTAATGAATGCTTCATAATAAAAAAAAAGAAAAGAAAGGGAAAGTGCTTTAGAAATCCACCGTTCAAGTTTCCATTTGGAGTGCAGTTGTCCTCTTAATATATATCCACAACAACAAAAATCATTATACAAGAAAACCCCCAGAAAATTCACAAAAATAAATATTCAGTTTCATATAAACGACCAGTGACTTCTAATTCCATGTCAAAAACCTGACCTCAAGTATTGTTTCAAAAAAGCGAAGTGGATGAGGAGGGCTGGGCAGGGTGAGGGGAGGGAGGAAGAGAGAGAGAGAGAGGGGGGAGAGTGCATGGTGCAGCCTCTAGCTGCTGCAAGATGCAATTGTTTACATTGATAGCGTCACTGTCAGAGAGCTATTTGTCTTTACGGTGGAAAAGGCCCTCCCAACAGGCCATTACCACCATCTCTACTCTGTGCCTCCGCCGAGCAATGTGAGCGCCGCGTGAGAATAGGCTGGTGCATCAGGGGGGCGAACCCGCACCGGCTATTCCTCTCCTCCCTATGCCGTGCAGCCTATGCCTTTGACATGCGGATTAAAGGTTGAAAGCTTCGCTCTTGCAACACAGCCCCCCCCCCTCCCTCCTCTCCCCCTCTCTCAACCTTGTGCAACCCCCTCTATTTTTTTTTTACTGCTATTATGAGCATATACCAGCTTGTGCCATGGCTTCAAAAAACGCCCGTTTACAGCCTGGGAATATGAGTTCAAGTTTGAATTGTCGCCCCAGATAAAAGGCCAAGGGGGGGGGGGCTGCAGAGTAGTGCCTTAACCACGTGACTCCACCATACGCGTCCACACTGATTTACGCAAATTCCCTCTCTCTCTCTCTCTCTCTATATATATATTTTTTTTACAATCACCCATTAAATAGTTCCTACAATCCTCTGAATGAGCACACCCTTTACTGTGCTGTGTGTGTGTGTGTGTGTGTGTGTGAGGGAGCTGACATCATTCACGGGCTTTGGGTTTGTTGTGATCTGGCTCGCAATAAGCTGGGCCTCTCTTTGTCACAGACAGAAAAGCCTGCCAATTAGCAGAGCGCGTCCTGCACTGCCATTAAAAACATCTACACGTTAACTTCAAATCTATGCGTATAGGTGCAACTTCAACAACACAGTTCGGCTCTGTTTCCAAGGTAAGAAGGATGAGCTGAACTTGGGAGTCTACGCGAAACAGGGCTCTACATTCATTGAGCGGCCATATTCAAAGGTCAGATCAAAAACAATGTTGAGCTGGTGACTACAGCGATATTTTAAAATTGATTCGAAATCATTTACTGTGTCTCGAATGCAACACAGCCAATAAAAGGACACAATGGGCATTTTCTCTGGCTAAATTGATATAAAAAATTACAAAAAAAAAGATACTTAAAAACAGTTTTAGGGGATGAGGCCTAAGTAAACAATCAGAATATCATGGCATGGCTAAGCAAGTCACATATGGGTGAATCATAAATATTCAAATAGCAGTCAAATGGATGCAGTTTGGCCTTTGTGTCTGCATCCAAATTAAGCCAACAGTCCCTTCTTCAGCTGTGTTTTTTTTTTTCCCATCAGCATCTCTAAAACATAATTTCACAGACTAGTCAGAAAACCCTAAAGCTGAAACATGACCCCAAACAGTATCAAAGTGAAATGCGTTTAAGCCCATATTGTGCGTTGTCGCAAGTGTTTTGGCGCTGTTTAGGTGCTCATTTTACCCACATTGACTCTCAAATCACATCAGATCCAAAGCCTTTCTTTGGCACTATCTTACGCTGTGTGAGTTACATTTGAAACCTAGATTTATACGCATTTTCTCTGGTGGGAGACTTTTTTTTTTTACAAGCAGGAGAAATCGGTGGCCCAGTGGACCTGCTGGGGTATTAATGTGGCCTCTCATGTGGGAGACAAACTTGCTACGATTCTTATCTTATCATTTCTGATTGTCTGTACATAAGGCCTGTGTTGAGTCTGGGCCTGTGCGCCAGCCACACGTTTGCAAACCAGGAAACAGTCCGCAGGAATAAAAACAAGACTGAGAACTGAACACAAGGACTCATGAAAGAAAAAAAAAAAAAAAAAAACAACCACAAGGAAAAAATCCTTTCAAATCCAATAAAGGCTTATCTGTGAGTGACGTTTAGATAGACATTAATGAAACAATTTTAACAATTAAAATTCTCTGAAATTGAACACATGGACCAGTGTGGCCAAGCTGGTCACCATGACAGTCATGAAAGAAAACACAGCTCTGATAAAGTAAATATACCGGCACAGAATGGGAAACCCTGATTTTTTTTTTTTCTCTCTCTCTCTCTCTCTGATTGACCAAGATAAACTCAATCCAAACTACAGAAAGAGTGGCTTTATCTCAGGGAATGCTCTGTTCTGCGTCTTAGCCCTTTTCCTCTTTCAGACAAAGCACAAACCCCTTGAAACATGGCACCATACAATCCAACAGGTCGAGCACAGGAAAGCAAAGAAGGATAAATAGTCAAGTAAACACAATAATGAGAACCTTACATATTGCTTAGGATTGACAGCTTTTACGTTTTTAAGCATAAATCCACGCACGGTGTCACACCAGTCCTGCGGGGGAAGATTCCAAAACGAAGGAGCCCGTTCACAGGAGAACAAAAAAAAAAAAAAAAAAAAAAAAAAAGGGGGAGCATAATAATACAAAACTTAGAAAGTTGCGAGCAGTTTTGATGAGCTCGCGTTAAGACTCGGGCTGCTGTTGGGCTTGTAGTTGACACGTTTGGGGCTTTTGTTTTTCTGCTTTATCTCAGTAGCCTATTTCCTAGTTCTCTGAGCGGGTGGGGGAGGGAGAATCTGGCCGCCTGGCTGCCACCTCCACACGGGGTGGGACAGAGGGGGAGGCCCGGGGCCCCTCAGCGAGTTCAGGGAGTAAGCAGGACACAAATCCCCGTCGTTGCCAACAACCAGTGACGGCGGAGATGGGAAATTGGCCATCAGGCTGAAAGGCGTTTTAGTAGACGGGGATGCTGCTGCAGAGCTGGCGCTGCTGCGTTGTTTGCGTCTGCTCGATAAATCCTCCGTGGATGGCTCCTCGGGACGAGAAGAAGGAGAAGAAGACGAAGAAGAGGAGGAGGAAGAAGAAGAAGAAGAAAAAAAAGAGGCAGCTTTGTTGACCCTGGGAACGTTTTGTTTTGTTTGCGTTCTTGAAAGACGGGACTTCTTACGTCCGAGCACCGGAGCCCTGCATATTTGGCTCCTGTGCTCCCCCTCCCCGATACATGGGGAGTCCCGGGTGCTCCTACATTCCTGAGGGCCACAGGGAGACTTCGAGACACCGTCGGGACCCGTGTCTGCGTAACAGTCCCCTTGTTTGATGGCTCCACTGAGATATTGGCAATGTTCTGTCTTGTCTCCTTTACAGTGGACTCCAGCGGTCTGACTGTGGTATTCATATTCATCATAGCTTTCCTCCACTTTAATTTTCACATTCTTGAGGTTAAAGGGGGGCGTCCAGGTTGTCCTGCCACTTTCAGAGAGGGGGAAGGAGGACACAGAGGTCTCCTCCGCCTCGGTCTTGATTTTTTTGAGTGGAGTTTGCAATTTTAGGCCGGCGGTTTTCGCTTCTCTTTTCTCGGAAGATTTGGGAGGCTTGGCGTCGTTGTCGTTTTCCCACTGGCAGCACAGTCCAGGGGGGGACTTTTTGGGGAGTCCCGGTGTCCTCCGCGAGGGGTAAAAGGCCCTATTACGGTTGGGTACCAGTGAATGAGAGGTCAGCTCGTCCTGGGGTTCGGCCTCGTACGTCTTTTCCCTCTTTGACTCAGAGAAAAATCTCTCTCTAACAATATTTGCGTCGAATTTTGGTGGGTGTAAAGGTCCAAAGTCCTTTCTTGTTTCACTGCAAATTAATTCACATTTCTGACGCCTCTCCTGTTTGCTGTACCCTGTTTGTGAAAGGGCAATGTTGCCCAGAGTCCTTTGCTGCTTCTCTTGTTGCTGCTGATTGTTGTAGTGAAACGTGGGCTCCAGCACCAAAGGCGCTTTACTGGAGTGGAGAGTTCTGGGGAGAGCACCCACCCGGGCCCGCCTGAACCGGATGCTTTGCACCGAAACCCTACTCGAAACAGAGCTGGAATCGGACTGCGACGAGCTCTCCTCCTCGTCTGAGCTGACCTCTGAACTTTCCGATTGCGTCTCATCTTCCTCCTCGCCCTCCTCTTCCTCCTCCGAGCTCCCGGAGTTGCTGCTGGTGGAGAAACCGGAGCCAAAGTCCGAGTCCGGGTACGCTCGGTCTGAGTAGGCAGTGCTCGACTCGCTGTCGCTGCTGTAACTCTCGGGGAAATTGGGCTCGTGGTGGTGGTGGTGATGATGATGATGGTGCTGGTGGTGGTGATGATGGTGGGGTCTGGGGTCGAGATAAAAATCCGAACTTAGGTGTAAAGCGCCAAAAGAAGTGGCGTGCCCGCTGGAGGATTTGGGCTGTACGAGCAGGACCGGTGGTACGTGGTGCGCGTGTCTGCTCCTGCTCCACGAGTGCCTCGCGCTGTCCCTGCCGCCGCCCCCCTCGCGCCTCCTCTTCCTTTTGTGAAGTAGGTCGCCGGCTGAGCGCGAGAGCCTGGACTGAGCAGCTATGGCGGACTGTAGCACCACTGGCTGCCGGCTCACAGAGGTCCGGAAAAACGATTGCCTTTGGCTCAAAGTAACGCGGTTCCCAGTTATTTTTGCAGTTTCATAGTTTTTAAAGTGTTTGTGACTGGACTTGGTCACCAAACGGTATTCCCGCCCGTGGGTTTTGTGGTAAAATTGAGGTAGTTTGGAGTCGGTAAGGCAAGGAGTCGGCTCTCTCCTCCTGTCCGTTTTGTTGTGCAGCGTGAGAGTCTCGGGGACGCCGTGCAAACTAAACCAAACTTTTTCCTTCCACAGCTCGGCTTCCGCATGAAGACGCCCCGGGGACTCGTCCTCATCCCCGGGGGGACACGCCGCTTTCGCTTTCCTTTTGTTGGACTTCAACACCCGCTCTGTCTTGCAGGAGAAGTACAGAGCCTCCACGTCCTCCCGCGATATCAGAGTGCATTTCGCGGCGTGGAAAGCAATAGAGTTTATTGCTTTGAGCTTCCGCAGCTCCTCCAGGTCGCAGTGGTGTTTCTTCACCTTCAGGTGGTCCATGCGCTTGTGCACCGTGGTCCGGGGGATGTTCTTAAGCAGGTCGGTGAAGACCTGAGACAAAGCAAACATTTGCTTGCCTTGGATGAGCAGGTATCCCAGCCTCACTCCTTGCATCTCCTCAAAGCCACACTCCAGGTCCCCCATGTTTTATGTATCCGCTCAAATCTATGTATCCATGTAGTGAGCCTCAGAATCTTATGGATTTACCGGTAAGTGGCACTAGGTCGCAAGCTCAAGGCATCTTGCTCATACCTTTAATCCATCCACGCTGCTGCTGCGTCATGAAAATGCAAACTTTGACATGCAGAGTTAAATGGAGCTGCCGGTGTCTGACTTGCTGAATGAACCGACAGCATCCACACGTCGCTTCTTGCCCGGGTCCGGCATGGTGGAGGAATGCAATGGATGCGTCCACCTAAACCAGGACTGCTGCTGCTGCTGCTTCTGCTGCTACCTGCCTCTGCCGGCTCCACTCCCCTCTGGACGGCAGCAGGACGAGTGTTAGGTGTACACCACTGCTTCAGCCAGAGGGATAAAATAGCGAGAGAAGAGAGAGAGAGAGAGAGAGAGAGAGAGAGAGAGAGAGAGAGGGAGATGGAGTTGTTAGGGTGGAGGGGAGGGAGAAAGAGAGAGAGAGAGAGAGAGAGAGAGAGTCCGAGACAGAGAGAAACAGAATAAGAGCTAAAAATGCAGCTGGTATTCTGGCTGCTAGTTGAGCCACAAATAAAATGACATGGGAGGGGAGGTGCAGCGGTCTGGAGACACCTTCATCAATTAATGCCCTCGGAGTCGACGCCCATTGGACAACGCTGACAGGTGATGCAATAAAATGGATATTCAATCTCCACCCCTTCCCACCCTACTTTATAATAGTCTACAATTGTGCCCCTATACCCTGCTTTTTGAGTAAATATTGCAGTTATGAAAAGTTTATATTTATAGAAATCCCCCCCCCCCATACCTAAGAGTGCGTATAAATGCAGACTATTTGGCATGACTCTGAAAGCTGTCATAAGACTGGAATCTCACGTGCTTTTTCCCTGTCGGTTCACATCGAAAGTGCTCGCATGGAATATGCAATCGATTGAGTAGTGGTGAAACGACTCCACAATCCGGCTATTTAGGAAGGTTTGATGTGTGTTAACGCAGCACAGCTTAAACAAAGACATTGGCTTTTCACGATTGGAGAGCTGCTTTTTCCCGTTTAGGCTGCTGACCTGACCAGAGAGCTCAACCCATCCGCTTGAGATGGCCCTATGGACTTTTACTCTGCGTGCATACATTCATTTTGCTGGCTATATCTTACCCGTTTTTGGCACGTTTTTTTTTTTTTTTTTTTTTTTTAACCCCAGTGTGTGTGTGGGTGTGTGTGTGTGTGTGTGTGTGTGTGTGTGTAATTCTAAAAGAGTAAAGCAGAGTGTAATTCTAATAGTTTGAGATTTAAAAAAATGTTTATAGGCCTATTGTCACGATAGAAACTATACTTTTTTTATTTTATTTTTTTTAGTAGAGACCTACTTAAATCCGGTAAATCCCTGTTTAATTTTAGCCTACTTTTCACTCTGCATGGTAAAACAACGGGAGCAAGGATTGGACAGACTGAAAGCGCAGAGTCAGAGGGTTGCTTTTCCCACAAGAGTTTCCAGAAGCTACAGCCGATTCAAATAGGCTATTCAATTTAATCTCCCGTAAAACGTTTCTGAAGGGGCTTTATAAAACAACTAAATACATTCGAAGAACCCATATGGCTACCGATATTTATAGAAACGGCAATATCAAGTTACTTTGAATCGTGGAAATTGGAAAAATAGTGTTGCAGTAAGACGTGATCTGCGAAGACTGTTACATTTATATATATATATATTTAGGAACTAGCCTGTTGGCTCTGTGCAAAATAGACTATCATGTGTGCACTGACAACATTTAGGCTATACACGCACGGACATGCACCAAGGCAAAGCGCAGAGTACACAAAAACAAACACACACACAAGCAGGGGAAACGTAGAGAGAAGATGCCACCCACATCGCTGTCCTATAATAACGTGGATGTGTTGTTTATTATATAGGATTTACCAATAGGTCTGCAGAAAGCATTTTTGGACAGACAACTGCGTACTGCCATATATTATATTTTCTCAAACCTCCTTATGTTCAGTCTTTGTTATCAATAAAACACGTGAGCACCTTGTGGTCCGATCTCCCCGGACACCGCTGTGCGCGTGGGGCCAAACACAAGACCGGGCACGCTCATCTCAATGAACTTCTATGCAGAACCTTCACTGTATGCTGAATGACAACAATGCAACATCAGTGCTACATCAAACAGCTTGTTATGCGTAGGCGCTGCTTTTCTACGTGAACGTGATTGGCTCACAGCCATTTAAATCCACGCATTATTAAACTGTAAACACATGATCACTTTAACATGGTGGTGGTGGATATGGATTTACTGGTACAGAATGCACATACCTAAAACCATGACGGCATTACAGTGTGGATAGGACATGTAGACTATAAATATTATATTATTAAAATAAAAAAATAGAGAAAAATATCTTGGCTAAACAAGCTACACCTACCAACAAGCGTCCGCAGTATTATGTTCAAAATGTTGCACAAGGAAATTTCAGCCTTGGTAGGCAATGTAGAAAGTTGTGGAACTTTTTTGCGATTCATCCCTTTTATTCTGATTGAAGAGCTTATTGTGAGCCGAACATTTCAAGAGATTATTAAAAGTTATAATTGTCTTCAAGCCACTGATAAATCTCGCTCTATTCGTGGGGTGGGATGCGTTTTAGTCAAAGTCACTTGGGTGGTTATGGGGTATAGCATAACCCCCCCCCCCCCACACACACACACACACACACACACACACACACACACACACAACAACAACTCAAAATCAACCAGTCACCTCTTCATCATTTCACAAGTCATTCAGTCATTCTGTATGGCAGTATTAATACATGGGGCACCCAGAGTTTCACGGACGCAGCAGAGTGAAGGGAGAGGAGGGGCAGCTTGTTGAGGTCCGGATCCCCCGGGGGAATAACTCAGCCCCGGTGCAACGTGCCCGGCCCGGGAGTTAGCGGGGAGGAACCAACAGTCAGAGCTTGTCTGCATCTCTGGGTCTTTCCTTTTTGTTGGACATAATAAGTGCTATCGTTTGTTGCTCTGACATAGGGTTACTCACGTGTAAACTAAACAGTTTTCCTCTGCTGATCTACACTTCATTTTAAATAAAGTCTATATCCTGCGACATAAATAGATGTAGTTGCGTTTCTGTCGACATAAAGGCTACAAAAGTGGGATCATTTGTATGACTCTTAATACATTATTACTTAACTTATTCTCCTACTATGTGCCCCAACCCCCACACAGGGTTAATCTGCAGGACACATATAGGAGCTTACTGGTGATCTAGAGAGGGAACAGCGGTCTGTTCATGGGAACTGTTTGAAAGAAATGTCCATCAAAACATCCCTGTAAATTCTAATTTTTTAAGACCATTCAATTTTAATATTGATAATAATTAAGGAAATGCGTCAATAAAAACAAGAAATGATTCAAGTTAAATGGTATGAAATAAATCTGTTATGTAACGCATCGGGTTGAATTTGCCTCAAGATCTGACTGTGAAGTTTTTCTTTTGACGTATTAAGTTCCTCTTGATCGTTGTTTAAGTGTTCTCTGCTTTTTCGAAATCGAGAACTTTAACATATTAATAGCCTGACTGAATTAAATTAACCTCTGCCGTATCTATACATCATGGAGTGTTTCCAATTAAGAACAGTGACTTTTTGTCATGCAGATTTGTGATGCACCAGATGTCACAATGCACTTATTTCTCCCTCTCATGCGCCTGGATGTCTGAGCGGAGGCAACAAGACCGAGTGGCCGAGAAAGAGACCTCAAGCACGGTAGAGGTTTCTTACAACATCCCTGAGTGTGTTGGTAGTATGTGGGGAATACCTCGGACTACCAAAGCTTGTAATACAGGCTTTTTCAAGTGATGGCCATTCCTGTACACTTGATAAATTCGCTTCAGTAGAAGAGAGGCCATGACTAGATCAATTTGGTGCAAGAAGTTCGATAAGGAATAATAATTTATAATAAGCATATAAAGCCAAGTATAGATTTAGACATATAAGTATTTGTGGGAACATTAGACACATAAACACATTTTTTTTTAAATGACCCAAACCAAACAGAGATAGCCCACAGTTGAGAACTTACATACATTTTACAAGAATAAAGTAATACATTAAATAAAAGATATATATGTATATCGTTTGATAGTTAAATGAAAATAGCTGTAGGTTTGCACAGAAATATAAGATATGACCGAAGAAGTGTGAAAAGGTTATTTATATCAGATACAAACAACTTTCATGGCACTTAGAATATCTCAAATGAATCACGTTTTCAATAATAATCTGTTTAATTATTCAAAGTGCGGTGTTCGCTATAGTGACTCATGGCAGTTTTCGCTGCTATTTGTATCATTCCAATGGGGAAGATCGATAGATTAAGAACACAGCTGTACACATACACACACATTGTAACCTATATTTGAACTACGCTGAAACTGTTTGAAACATTAAATGCCATTGCTGGACAGACAAGTGAAACTTTCATTAAAAAAAAAGGGACATGATTAATTGGAATTTGGCGTGCTTTGCATTGTTAAACTCCTCGTAAAAGTCGAAAATGAAAACGTCCGAACTCCCGTACTGATTCTAAGACTCTTGAAACCTAACGCGTCGCTCCTGCAGCACCGAGTCATTTGTTTGGCTTCGAGTTTTATGGAGACACTCGGTCAAGGAGGCGCAGGCACTTGTAAGCGCATAGACTTTTTATGACACAAACCCACTGCCCCATGCCAAAACAATGAATTCCTCTCCACCCCCCACCACCCCGGGAGAATGTGATTTTACATGCAATTCGAGCCTGAAGTGTGTGCGGACAGTGGTGGGGGGAGGGGCCCTCTTCACCTTTCACCCCGCCGTGTTGGGACTGTTTGTATTTTTTTCCTGGGCCTCTGTGCTACTCGCCGACCACAGAAAAGAGCACGAAGGAATACTGATGCGCCTGAATGTAGTGTAACCAAGACGGAAGCTCTATTGGTCATTTCAGTGTTTGCAGCTCTTAGAGAGATGACACTCCTTCCTGACTAAAAAAAAAAAAAAAAAAAAACACCCTTGAGATTCAAATCAAATAAAGCTGATACAATTATTTTGTCTATGCTTGTTTGTTTCTCCACGTCTGAAAATTACAAGGATCACATGACGCAGATGGACGTGAACCATTTCAGGCTGAAGAACAGATAGCCTACATTTACCACAAACTGCCAGAAACCATTGACAGACATGTAGAAAGTGTCCATAGAACAGAGATCAAAATGCCATTTAGAAAATCCATAAGTCTGCTATATAGCCAGGCCCCCTTACATGTAATGATGCATTCACAGGGCTTAATTCTCTTGGTTAATAATTGTTACTTGAACTATTAGCTGTATTGAATGATGGAGTGAAGCGATTAAGAACGCTTGCAGGTAGGTTAAACTTTTATCCTGAAATAATACAAATGTATGCTTAGCTAGATTGTGTAAAAACAGACTATATAGCCTATGTAAAAACGTTATACTGCTTATTTAATTTATCAATGTAAACCAGCCATATTCACTATGTTCTGCATGACACACGTGGAAAACATAGTGGTTGATAAATTAAAAGAACAAGCAAGGTATCTACTTAGCTGTCAATAGTCCTTTTGGTGAAGCTTATGAGCTCAATATGTGAAAAACGTTCCTGCAAAAGACTTTGTTCCCCTGCAATGCGCGCACACACACACACACACACACACACACACACACACACACACACACACACACACTAACTTGTTTCTGAATAAAAACTGAGCCTAAATAACAAGAAAACCATCAACCACATTATACATTAGACAAAATTAAAAAAAAATAGACCATTACGTTTCTCATACATCTGTGAATACAATGCCTTAACATGATATGATTTCAGATGGAGCTTACTTAAGTCTGTGCATGTCGGGGGCTGCTTTTCCCAGTGCCATATCTCCTCCTTGTGATTTTTACATTCTCCTCATTCTGCACAGATGCACACCAAAACTTCACTTGGCCTATTCAAATCTGCCTGAAAGCTTTAGAGACCCCTTACCTTTTACACTGCAAGTGAAAAAAAATTCCCCTTAAAAAAGAACAGATACTTAATGAGCGAGTTAGGAAAAGGCCTTTAAACCTTATAGTTTCATGCTGTCTCCACTTTCTTTGAATAATAATGCAAATAGCAAAAATCAACTGAAAGGCATAAATACCTTAACTGAATAGGGTTTTAAAAAATGTATGTATGTATGTTTTCTTCATACATGTTCAACTTTGCAAAAGCACTTTGCAAATGAAATAGTCTACAGTGCAGAAAATAGGGTTAAAAAAAAGCTGGAAACCCAAATAAAGTATGCCAAGAAATTTAGGGTGACATCATTATAGCGAAACAACTGAACAGAGGTGTGTTAACAGGAAAGCTTATTTTAATAAACAGATCTACGCTGTTGACACTGAAGATCCAGCATACAGCATCTGGAGGGAGTGCTGGGTTATAATGAGAGAATACCTTAAATTATATAAAAGCTCTGAGTGCTATATGTACTTTGAGGTCAGCAGTGGTGGTTGGAGGCAGACAGTGTTGCTGCAATTTGCTGTCTCAGAGAAAGCTTTCCTCTGACAGCCCAAGGAACATTATACATGATTCGTGCAGACTTTGACTTAATCAAGTGCAAGTTGTAAAAAATCATTTGCCATTTTCAGTGTTTCAGTAGCTATATGGGCCCCTCCACAGCCGCTGCCCCCTCCTTCGCCTCCCTTTGTTCTCTCCAGCTCTAATAGGTTTTCCCCTGCCACACACAATTCACTTTTTTTTTTCTCTTTTCCCCAGCTCCCCATCCCTCCCACTCCCCCTTTTAGTGCAGTGCCCAGTGTCGACTGGAGCATTTGAGCAATTTGAAATTAAAGCAAACAATGGGCAGGCACTCCCAGGGACCTCTCGCTCACCATATTACACGGAGGACGCTCGTGTGCTCTTGCGCATTATTGGCAAGTCATTACGTTTCTCTGGAAACCAAGAGCGGGAGCTCGCTCAGAGGAATCGGTGATGCAAGCAGCAGCTGAGTGCTTGGAATAGCGTGTGTGTGTGTGTGTGTGTGTGTGTGTGTGTGTGTGTGTGTGTGTGTGTGTGTGTATGGGTTCTGGAGCATCCTTGGCAACAGCATGTGGATGCTGTCAAAACAAAACTGTATATTGACAGGTCTGATATTCAGCCTGATGTAGGGTCCTCAAAGCCCATTTCATGTTCTTTGAAAGATCCTTACAAAAACAAGATTTTCAAATTACTTACTGCTTTTCAGTCACTATTAATACAGTCTCTATTCTTAATAATTTTTAAAAGGGTTTGGATCATTTACATTAAATATAGGCCATTAACTAGTGGAAAAATAATCAAGTTCCCTTCCCAGCTGTTTATTGTTCAAAGATGTGCATGCATATAAACCATAATTCAAATGCATCATAAAAGTACTGCTGTCATTTCGTTTAAGATATCATATTAACTAAAACATTTTTAAAATGATAAAAAATCAGCATGATTTGTACTTATAAGGGATTGATACTTTCCTACTTATAAAAAGTGTATAAAACGTTGACATTTTCACAATGAAACACATATATAGCGTCAATACATTTTAGAGCTTGTAAATGTGAAGCAAGATGTTCACGAGTGTTGGATGTTTCCTGTATTTCAGTGAGTGCACTGTGATTTTGGCAGTAATGTGTTTGTAATTAAACTTTCACATGTTTTTAAAGAGTTTCGGCTCGGTAATTGTAAAGATGCACGTTTCTATGAATAGTAATGAAAGTTTGACAGTAGGCCTAGCACTCATTATACTGTGAAATCTTACCACAGAGCTTTAGATTAGCTGCAAAAAAAAAAAAAAAGGAACCTACATGAGTTCAGATTTCTTCTTACTGGATATTATAATATAAATGAAACAAGCATCAACTCAGAGATTAAGACAACAACAGTAGTGTAGTCTATGCAACTAGTTTAACAAACAAAAACAAGGGCCCAGGCTACATATATATTTAGAGATTGCATTGCTCAACTTTGTCTTATTTTTGATAAATATAACTTTTTTTTTTAGATATTTAGGCCTACTTATTTTTTACTTTTTCTTAACCAAACTCACATTGAGTTAAAAATTGAATCGTAAGGCTCACAAGTCATGTACAACATACCAAATATGTACTTCACCGTGATGTAATAACACTATTAATGTGTAATGTGCTTAATCCAGACCCATCCAGAAGTTTCCTGTAAACACATTTGAAAACACACACACACATTTGTTCACTACACTTTGTGCTTAAAGCTGCTGCTGCTGCTGAACTCAGGCCTTATTTGATAGAAACAGTCACATATTTGCCTACCCCAGCGTAGCTACAATGTTGACGGGGGGAAAAGTGAAGTCACTTGGCTACAAGTTTTCAAACATTTCGGCCATGTGGAGCGAAATTTGCACGTTGTTACCGAGGGTCCAATCACATCCGTATTTTACTTCCTATCAGAGGACACGCACGCGTATGCGCCTTGCGTCATTACGCATTTCCTGTTCTCTACGACGTCCCCCCCCCCCCCACCCCCCTCTTTTGCTCACCATCGCGCCGTGAAGTAGATGTTTTGGTGAAAATACACGGTGTCAAAAAGGGACGAAAATACGTTTAAAACATGACATTTCGACCGAGTGGAACCTAAAGCCGTGTAGCGGGGGAAATAAGGAGGTTTTCAGCGAATGTTTCGGGTTATCTTTTTTGTCGTATTCTTCCGCATGTCCGCTTTCTTCGTAGATGGTCTCCGGCGAGCGTTGTCTGGCGGCGGACGACGAGGTGTCGAAAAATAATATGAAGGAGATGATCGGCGGGTGCTGTGTTTGCTCTGACGAGAGAGGCTGGGCGGAAAACCCGCTTGTGTACTGCGACGGACATGGCTGCAATGTCGCCGTGCATCAAGGTAAGCTGGTACTGGTGAGCTCGGCTAGGTGTTAGCTGTTAGCCTCGGGGCTAGTTAGCGTTGTCTTGATACAAGGTTATGTTGCGCCCCGTATGTAGCCTCCTCCTCCGGCTACCCGCAGCAAGGCCAGGCTGAGGTCAGGCTCAGCTCCTCATGCAGCAGGGCAGTCCTCTGTTTTGTTTCTGGCTGCTAACACAGCCTGTTTAATCCGCTTTGGACTAAAGTTGGCAGCTTGTGTGTGGAGGTCGTGTGTTCACTCCCCTGTCAGAAGCTGTCATATTGTTTATAGTGGGAGTCCACGCTTGTCTCAAGGATCTTCCCTCCGATTAAGACCACTGACAGATAAACTTGTTGTCTGCGTGACATGGCACACGGAGCAGATAATGTGTGTGTAAGTGCTGCCTTTTAATGTTAAATCTAACAATGCATCCAACAATGATTTCTGACACACATGTTGTCTTGCAGTAAACAGTGATCTTCAGCTGGAAAGACAGTGGATGACTCGGATGATGACGTCCACTGTTTACAAATGTAACAGCCGGCCATGTGTACAACACAGCAAGAGCCCGAAAACTATTTGCGTTGTCAGTTTCTCTATAATCACCTGCAGAAGCATGCTGGTGTGTTTACACACATGTTGTTAAGTGAGACCTGGCAGGATCATATCAGTAATAACATACCAGTTGCAGACCTGTAACATACCTTGCAACACAACTGGGGTAAATATATCTGACCCACATGTTTCTCTTTGTGGTATTTAAGTTGTGTTAACAGGATTAGCACCAATATGTTTTAATACATTGTTTATAAGATACCTATACCTTTGCCAAATCTCATAGTATTACTATCAGCGTCACACAATTCCTCTGTCAGTCAAGATTCATGACTCAGCAGGATGTATTGTATCACATTGTCTAAGATGATATGCATTTAATAGTTTAGTTAAAGACACCATCAACCATACGTATATCCCCGAACACGTTATTTATGCCACATTTTCGATCATAAAGCTTCAATATGAAGAGTTGATAAACACTGAAAACTGGAATAAGGTGTTTTCTAAATCACATCAGATTAAATCCTTATATCAAACAGGTGCCCATTGCAAAATATTAAACGGCTTCGCAGATGTTAAATTGTAAATTTCATAGGTTAATAATAAATCATGCAGGGCATTGCCTACTTTATTAGGATTGATAACCTGTTTCAAAGCAGTTTCTGTTTAGATCAAACAATGTTTGCCTGATGAAATTTAAATAGGAGCATTCAACAGCGTACACTGAGGGGCTTTTTGGGATTTCAATTGTTGCCAGCAGTTGGTTAATGATAAAAAAAAATTGAGTTTAGATTAAAGCTTTTTGTTATTACAGAATTATAATATCCAGCAGAGAAATGGCATTTATTGAATTCGAATCAATTCTGCCAAAACAAGACCCACTAAATATTTGCAACAAAAAAAAAAAGTATTGAGCCCTGAAGTGCTTCAATTAATCAGGCTCAGTGTCCAAATTTACACTATATATTGTTTCTATAAAAAATGTCTTTATACTGATTCTGTAGGTAGCATTTAGAGAGTTTTTTGTAAGATCGCAAATGCTGTTTGTAATGTGTTGTAATGCACACAAGTAAAAAATGCACATGTAAGTAATTTTTTATTGTCAAGTGTCGAGATTAAATCTGGTACAAATTTATATAGACTGTTTTTTTTTTTTAATTTCAATTTTCACTTAATGTTTTATGGTGGGACAAAAGTATTCATCAGCAGCACGGTCAAAAAGTGTTTTTATTCTAAACTATTGCGTTTGTATTTTTCTTACATGAATGTTTGTTAAATATTGTATCTCATACTAACAGCATAGCTGCGTGCTACACGGGATGCAGTACATTATAAATTGCAAGTGCTCAAATTAGTTGACAACTTGACATTAGTTGACATATTAAGGATGAATGAAAACATGTGTTCTTTGTCTTTAAATGCTCTCCCGAGTCTTTGAGAAAAGCTGAAAATAACAACAAAGCAATCACAGTACTGTATTTGACATCTGTAATCAGGACAACAATAAAAATGGCAAGAGAATCGATCAGCCAGCCATAATAATTCAGTGAATCAGGTTTGCAGAATATCTGAACCTCCAGCTGTCTTCAATGTTTTTTCTGTAAATCTGGTAACAGTTTCTTTATTTCTCCATTTGAACTTTGTAACCTTTTGGATGTTTTGTTCCCTGAGATCGGGATTATAGCTGTTTATTCCACTGGATTATGGGCTCTGGTCTGATCAGAGATAATCTGAAAATGTGTAGAGGTAGGCTATTTAGGGTCGAGCTACTGCATTTAGGGTCGTACTGCCTGTGCTGAAACGTCTAAAGCCCTTTTTTATACAGAAATTCTCCAACAGCACTCAAAGAATGCTATGCTATTATGCACCGTTTTTCACTTAACTACAGACCGCTGTTATAGTGCTACCCCATTGTATGATTTTTGCGTTTCCTGCTGGCATACATCTTTGGGAACCAACAGCGCTGGAAAAACATACAAACTCACATTGTTGTCCTGTCCTTCAGCGTTGATTCACCTCTGTAACTACCTTAGATGCTGGCTTTACAACATAGCAATTTTCTCTCCTAGTTTTTTTGCTTTGTACTTTTACGCAAAACAGCAAGGCAGAATAATGGCTTGAGTTGTCCCAATAACATTATCGTTATTGGCCTCTGATGCCTATAATGTGGTATGAGGTATTGGTGTGTATTCCTGGCAATGCCCTGATCTGATACCATGACTAATAATCCCTTTAAATGTTCGTTTTTTTTAAAGTAAATTATCCTGTGACAATAACAAATCAAGCAGTGTGGTGCAGAGAGTGTAATGTTATTTTAAAGCTAGCAAATTGTGGGTAATTTGCATTATACCACCAATATGATGCATTACTTGATCACATTGATATCATAAGGGTCCTCAGGATTGTCTTAAGTCATGTAGGCATCAGTGAAATAAGGTTATACCTCAAACTAAGAGATCATAGTTACTATCTGCGGTAAATTAGGTTTTGTAAATCATTACTGTTGGCTAAGTGGACAAAGTGTAAGTTTACGTTAAAAATAGCAACCAAGTCTCTTTTGCCTTGTGGCCCTTACAAAATGACAGAAATGAACCTTAGGGTTAGTAACATAAAACTGCCTCAAATAATATAACAATGTGACTTCTAGCGGTCGTTATGACTTTTTACTTAATCTGTGATGTAACAAATAACAACAACAGCGTGTTGGGCAGTCTGTAAGATCTAAACTTTGTTCACGGTTTCATTTCAACCAGAAAAGTAACAAGTTGCCTTCTGCATTGAAATAGTTAGTTTGTGGAGATTTCATTTCATCAGGAGTTATTCTGTTTAGTGTTATTCCAATTAACAGTGTTATATTCTGTGGTATAAAGCTTTTGTTGTGGTTTTGTTGTCGTAAGTTAATTCCCCCCCCCCCCCCCTCTGTCTCTCCTCAGCCTGCTATGGCATTGTGCAGGTGCCCACAGGTCCCTGGTTCTGCAGAAAGTGTGAGTCTCAGGAGAGAGCGGCCCGCGTGGTGAGTCACATAATCCAGCTATCATTTCTTTTATGAGTGATCCCCTGGAAAAAAAAGACTCTTTAGTAAAGATTGCGGACTTGCTCTTGAACAATGCTGCAGTCATTTATAGATATGCCAAGAAAATAGTGGCATGTTAGGACCTTCTTGCTTAGTGTGTCTGTCCAAAGGGCTTGGAGGACACAAGTTAAAATATCACAATACAGCTTCAAGAAGATACTGCTAGTTACATTTCATCACCCTCAGTAATGTCTCTAAAGCCCCGCTGTTGGCTGGTTTGTTCAGTGCCAGTCACCTACATTCAAACAAGCAGGAACAATGTTGAATGAAAGAGCAAGCATGATTTTTTTTTTCTTTTTTCCCATATCTTTGTCTCTAAATGTGCATCCTCTGCCGTTTCTGGCTATATTTGTTGACATGTGAGCGGAGACAAAGCACAGCAGAAGGTTTATTTTTTATGACAGCTTGTAGGTTCACATCTTTCCTTGCAGCCTTTCTCTCAACATTTCTCCCTTCCTTGGTTTGCATTGCAAGATTAGGAAAGCTATTGAAAAACAACGTCACACAGTCTAGTCAAAGACCATTCTACTGTCCACTCACACTCACTACCACTTACTGTACATTGACCTAAACCAGAGTGAGACAACACGAGTACTCCCTGCGACGTCGAGTCCAATATTTTAAAAAAGGTGGTTTTAGCAGCTGAACTTAAAACAGCCACTTTGCCTCCAACATGGTGCCCATTGTGTTGAAACACATTTAATTTCAAGGATTAACTAATTCATCAGCTGTTATCGGACAAGGTTTAGGTAAAAAAAAAAAAAGGTAACCTTGCTGCCTGTACCAGTAGTTTCGTGAACCAGCATCAGCAATCTTCACACTAAAACGAATAATAGACAGCGAAAAACCGTCACTGCAACCCTGCCTGGACTGCAAAGTATTAAGCTTTTGTATTTAACCAAGCGCAAAACCATTGTGCCCCATTTGCAACAAGTGCGTTGCAGTAATAAGAGTAAAACATTCAGAGGGCATCACTTTGAAACACCTGACCCCTGATCCAGACCAACTTCCCCAGAGTGATCACAGGAGAGGGATGGCAAAGTAAAGTACAGAGATGTTACCTTGGTGCCTGCACAGCCCAACAAAGATTTACAGAAGCTTCCCTCTGTGTGTCTTGAATCTTGGCAAAAAGGAGTGGCCATTCATAGACTCCGAAGTAGTGAGAGAATGCATGCTGGCCGTTTGGGGATGATAGACGTAGCTGACTGACATTTCAACTATTCGCAGGTCTGAATTACGAGCTACAGATGTGTTTGAAAAGCTTTTAGATGAACTGAAAAAGGCAGACGTCAGGTCTAAAGCAGTCGATGAATTCTTAAACTAAAATGACATGCCATTTGTAACCGTTTATTCTGTTGTAGCACTTTGTTGGTATGCTTGGGTCAGATGTGACCACAAAAGTTTATTCAAAAATATTCAACATTGATGTTGGATTGGAGGGAGATAATGCTAGATTGGGGAGTGCATGTTATCAATTAGTTAATGTTTCCCCCTTTTGTTATGGTTCAGTGCAATGATAGCACTGATCTCTGGTTTAATAATCATACACTTCAATGTGCCTCTTCAGGATATGTGACTAAAATGTATTTAAATGACTGTGTATTTGAATGGTAGACAGAGGAGGAAGAAGGAGCAGCATACAGAGAGAAATATAGTGTTATTGGTTATTGACACTTTCTATGGTTAGGTTTACTCACAGCATTGATTTAATACTGTTCATGGCCTTTGTCACATACAGTATGTGACTAAACTTGCTTTATTGCAAATGTGAAACAAAGATGTTTACATTTTACTACATACATTTGCATTTATTGTTGTTGAAAATATTACTGATGACAAATTAATATCAAACTGACCCGTTCAACAGATCTCTGGATCTTGTCACTTCAAACTAAACTGATTGGGCTAAAGAGCCGCAATATATTATGTGTTCTTATTGTGAAACCACAGTTATATTGCTTGCCGACTGCCAAGTTTCAACTTAATGTGACCTCGGCAAACTTCTGAAGACTTGCCCAGATGTTGTTAGGGCAAGATTTCCATGAGTAGTGGTTGATAAAGGTGCAAGGAATGATCTGTTCACTTTAAGAACTTGTAGCAATGAGGACAGAGTTTCTTCTTCAGAAATTAAACAGGATAACAAGATATCCAATTAATCTATTAACCAGATAAGGAGAAACCAGATTTGTTGTCCAAAATACTAGCGGTGACTCCATTTAGTCAAATATTTGACGATTCGTTTGTCAGAGCCTCAGGTGACTGTTTGTTTCTTCGCTGGTCTGATCGGCACACACTGGGCTGGCAGTGTGTGAGCCTCATGTATTGGAAATCATGTGTGATATTGTTATAAGGTCAAATTGATGCAGAGTGAGTGAGTACAACGATAGATCAAGTCCTATCAGGGAATAAATGTTATTCCAAGTCTAGAAGACAAAGAGTTGAATGATGTGGTTTAAACTCAATGAGAATATCAATGAGTGCAAAAACTAAACTAAACAAAACTTTCGACTTTCATCAGTCGACTATAGGAAAATCTGACCAGATTCCACTCTAAATCCTTAGTGGGGGACAGGCCTAAAAAAATACTGACAATAACAATGTCTCTTTAGTAGGGTTCCAAAATTCTGGGAATTTTCAAAGTTGGAAACTTTCCATGGGAATTAACAGAAATTTACGGGAATTAACAGGAATAAACCAGGAATTTACAAAATTGAAGATTGGCCCTCAACAGGGAACTTAAATATAGTTGAAGAAAATATATTTTAGCATAATCTTGTCTAAAAAAATCTGATTTCATGCAAGTACATGTGAATATCTATGCTATTCCTCATACACATGCACATAGCACACTGCTTACTGCAGGGCTATTGAGGCCACGCCCCCTACACACTTTTGAGCCCAGAGCACAAGACTATTGAAGCCAATAAAATATAAAACTTGATAAAGTTCTGTTTACAAATTAATCTGTTTAAAATGTCATCTTTTTTAATTGTATTATTTTGCATGGATGTCTGCTGACAAAACAAAATGTTTATATTTATGCTTGGATATGATACAGTTCCTTGTATTTATACATGAAAATCAAGAGATTTTTATGAAATCAAGAAATCAATAAAAGATAATCTTGTTGTCTATAGCCTGCAAGTGTTGAGTTTAGACAGATGTGGGTTTAGTAGGGATGGGAATTTACAGTAATCCCTGTACTCGATTACTCAAATTACCTAATGAACGAGTACTCGAGTACCCGCAGATTATTATTTTTTCTTTTTAACCGTAAACCAAAAAAAAGGGTTCGTCAGACACAGACCTCCCGGACCAGAATTGTAGACTTTATGCCTGTAAAATGACATAAACAGCCAATATTTAAACATAAATATAAATAAATAACCAACAACTTAATGGGAGCATATCTCCAGTTACCATTTTGGTTATTAGCAGGCTAATCTTCTCCGCTCTGGTTTCATCACAACGACGTGTGCTAACAGGGCTAGCAAATGACATCATGCGAGACTGCCTGTTTTCTGTCTCTGCTGTTTTCTCCTTGTGCTTTAAGCGCATGTGGTTAAGCATCGAACTAGTATTTCTATGGTATGCAAGTTTAACGCCACATATCTTGCACTGCACATTAACTTCATCGTTTTTGTCGAAGTACTTCAAGACGTCACTTTTCTTGACTGACATGTCGCAGGTGTAGCAGACGGTTCTGTATTTGTTGTGCTTTCGGTGTGATAATATGTTCCTAGAGAGTTGCCGTAGCTGCCGTAAAACAGTTGTTTTTGCTGAAATCTGGCTAGGTGTGTACTAAAGCTGAAGCCGTGGCCAGAGAAGTCATACGTTTGTATGTGTGTTTTTTTGCGAAAAAAAAAAGAAGCTGGGTCACACATGTAACGCTGTATGAGTTCAAGTTTTGTAGCTGAAAGCAGCACTTGCACAGGTGCGCGAGTAACGAAATGTTACTCGAATAATGGGTCAACGGCGAGTACTCGAGTACTCGTAACCCATCCCTAGGGTTTATAAAATATAAAGTATTATTTTATGATACAGCACTTATTTTAGAGAACTTTAAGACGTGATGGCCTTCAGTTATTCTTATATGAAGTAAGTACTCCCATTATGGTCAAGGCTTGACATTATAACTGGCACGTTGACCCAGATGCCTGGGAAAGCTTATTGTATGTTCCACTGGCACGCTCAGGCCAGTTAAAATACTGTCTTACAAATAAAAAACATTAACATTTTATTCATACATTCAAATAATGGTGTTTTGTTCGTGTTTCCTGTGAGACCATCTTGTTAATTACAGCTACAGCATCAACTCTAAGCCCACACACGTGTGTTTCAAAGTTTAGCACAATACGGGTTAACTTGGCTGACTGTGGGTGCGCCCTTAAACATTAATGTTCCTGTGTCAGTGGATACAATGGTGTTGCCAGTGATCTTATGTCTGATTTAATGTCAAACCATGGAGGGAATATGAAGTATTTAGTTATGTGCAACAAACAAGTTGATTGTTTACCAACACTTTATTGGTAATAATGGTTATTATAGGAAACCAGGGAGAAAGAGCAGGGAATGACGAGGGAAAGGAGCCATAGGCCAGACCTGAGTCTAGGTCCGCCCGCTTGGAGGACCATAGGCTTTGTACATGGGGCACAATTTTTTGGGGAAAGAGAATATGTTTACCTTAAGTAACCCCTGTAAGATGTGTAGCATCTTGAAAACAAAATGGGAACAAGATCTTTCTTCTTCCTGTTCTTACTTCACTGTGAGTGAAGTAACCTTCACTCACAGTGAAGTAACCTTCACTCTCAGTCCTCTTCGTGTATGAGGCTTAAATATGGGGTACACCAGCTCAGTTGCAGGCAACTCAGAGGAGTGGACAATTTCCTGGGGAGTAGCTTTTGCACACACACACACACACACACACACACACACACACACACACACACACACACACAGGGAGAAACAACCTCAGGTAGCAGATAGCGAGCAGCTTTTCGCAGAGTTTCTGGCCTCCTGTCCAAGTCAGGACCACTTGTCAGGTTACCTGACACACTGACATATTTGTCATACTCGTGTGTTTGTGTCTTACTTAGTAGATGAGGTTGACTTTTTTTTGTACATGACCTGATGTTTCTTTCTCACATGCAGAGATGTGAGCTGTGTCCCCACAAAGATGGAGCTCTGAAGAGGACAGATAACGGAGGTAAATTCTCTATCCACTACATACACACTTTAACACACTCCACACACAAACATCTGTGGTGAGCCTCTTGTGTATTTTGTCATTAATTGCGTGTCACTGGCAAGTTTAAGGGGTGTGAGCATGCTGGGAGAGTTATGTTGCTGTTTGTTGTGTGTGCTGCCTCTCTTCACCGACTTTGCCAGTCCATGTTTTATGAGATTGTGTGTGTGTGTGTGTATGTTTATGAGGGGGCGGGACAGGATGGGTATAGTGCATGGCCTGTGAGTAGTCTCCTCTCTGGGTTCATTGGGAGGTCAGCTTGGTGGAGACTGTAAATATTCTGTGTGTATGTGAGTGTGTGTGTGTGTGTGTGTGTGTGTGTGTGTGTGTTTGCTTGAGTCAGTCAGAGAGCGGCACAGCTGTGGGATTGTGTCCAGGCCTGCAGGGAGGCATCAGGACAACACTAACACACACCGTTTTACTACTTTCTCTTTTATTTTACCCTTCCCATGACCCCTCTCTCCCTCTCTTTTTTTTTTTCCTCCCATTTTTCTCTCACCGTCTCATTCCCCCGGCCGTCCGTTTCTCAGCTTCTGGCAGTTCCTCTTCACTTGTTGATCTGTGTGGTAGTCGCTGTTATTTCAGGTGGGACAGTAATAAAGCAGAGCAAAGGTATTAGTCTAAAACTAGTATTTGATCTTTTATCTCATGAAGAAGAAAGAAAAGCAAGACAGAGGGAGAGAAATAAATTAATTATTAAGATGCTTTTTTGTCTTTTATAGCTTTAGATGTATAGTACATATGTGTGCTTCTATTTAAGTACAAAAATAATAATGTACAATTTGAGGAAGTTTCACACTTACAGAATGATAACAAAAAGTAATCCTTCAGATATAAATATTAAATGTTTTTCCATAAATAAATATATCAGCAACAGGTTCTTACAAGGCAGTGTGATGTGGGATATGTGGCAGCAATATGAACATTTGGATTTCGTTTATCAAGAAACTGCTGGTGTTTTTTGGGTTGAGGTTTAAGCTGGTTTAAGGGTGATTTATGCAAGAAGTGCTGTAGAGCCATCATCAGAAACTGACAGCATTTTGTTTATTTTGAATCAAAACACACTCAAGATGTGTAATCGGCAAAATTCAAGGTCTTTGTCTCAGCACATCAGAGAGAAGAGGATGTTTGTAATGCTTTGTTGGTAGTTTGGGGGGCAAAACGTTTGAATGCTCAGTTGCAGAGGAAGGCTGTGCCACTTTTATAGTCCTGTTTTATAGGCCTCTTCCAGATTCTTGGAGGGACTTCAAAACAACAACATGCCCCCATTTCACACCCGCCGCCTCCCCTCCGTCCCGCCCTCTGCCCTCCTCCCCCTGTCCCGCTCACCAGGTCAAAGGCAGGTCAGGGGTTCAACTGTAAGTTTAAGCCTGTTTTTTTTTTTTTTTCGCTACGGGGGAAAAACAGACACCTCCAGTGTGGCAGGAGACTCCCACCTCCGTTTGACCCTCCGCCGACCCCCTTCTGCTCCTCCTCGGCCCGTCGTCAATTCTGCTGCCACTCCAGCAGGCCCCCTTGTCATCCCACCGCCCCCAGTTTGTCTTCACTGACAGGCAGCTGTGTGTTAGTTGGATAGATTAACTACCAGTTTGTAATTTAACATATTTACGATTCAGCTTTCACAAAGTTCATTGGGGACTGTAACTCAAAGGGCATTTTTTGGACACTTTCATGATGATTCAATATGACATTTAGGTTCTGTTCTGTTTGCGTGTTTGTGCCAGGGAAGTTTTATGTATGATTGTTGATAGATTTCTTTTTAATTTTAGACTTGATCCAAATCAAAAAGGGGCATACCGGAAACAAGTTCAAGCACTTTATTTAGTTTTTTGTTTATGGTCATATATACTTAGGAAGACATAACTAATCATGTGTGCAGATGAATGGAATAAACCTGAAATAAACTGGACCAATCACAGAAGTGTAACAAAAGAGTCAGAAATGTATTTGGGATGGAGACCATTTGTAGGTCACATGTTCAAGAGTCTGTGTGAACAACTGTGAAGAATGTGCAGGAAGGGGCATGTTTTTTTGTTCATCGCAGCTGATTAAATTGTGTAGTGAGATATATAGAGCAGGTTATCAGCCTTTGTCCCTCTTGCGACACATTTTAGAGCGTTGCCACAAACTTTAGCTGTTATATGTGCTGAGGTTAATGTCTTTCTCTGTGTTTTTGCAGGCTGGGCCCATGTTGTTTGCGCCCTTTACATACCTGAGGTGGAATTTGCCAATGTGTCTACTATGGAACCGATAGTTCTCCAGTCTGTGCCTCACGAGCGCTACAACAAGGTAACAAAATGTATTCCCACATTCTGAAATGTTACAAATCAATTGATGAGGAAGCTATGGAAGAGTATGTTTTTTTTTTTTTTGTTTGTTGAGGTTACACATTTCTCATTTCTATGTGCGTTTGTGTAGACATGCTATATCTGTGAGGATCAGGGCAGAGAAAGTAAAGCAGCCACTGGGGCATGTATGACCTGCAACAAACATGGCTGCCGGCAGGCCTTTCATGTCACATGGTGAGACCGATTTAAATCACATTAACCCCACAAAGAGGGAGCTTGTTTCTTCAGTTTTCTTCCCTAAAATGCAAGAAAGGTGTTGAGTACCAGTACAACAATCTCCTCTCTGCCACAGTGCCCAGTTTGCGGGGTTATTATGTGAGGAACAAGGATCAGACGCAGACAACGTCAAGTACTGTGGATATTGCAAATACCACCACAGCAAATTGGTGAGTGTCCTCTCATATTTGCAACCTTTTCCACTGATAGCTTGTCTATTAATACTGTAAACCATTACTTCACACGTCATGATGCAGTGTCTCATGATCAACATCATGAAGGATACACATTTTTTTCTATTGTTTTGGGGGTTTCAAATTTAAATGATACATCAGTAACTTGTTCAAAGTTGTGATGGTGTAGATATACAATTTGGTATTTGTGTGTTGTACATGACAAGTTTCACAATTTCTTTTTTGTTTACACTTCATTAATCCCAAGGAAAATGATTACGTTTTTTTTTTTTTTTTAAAGACATTCTTCACACACATATATTCCTAAAGCACTAACAGGACCTAAACACATGCATTAATAGAGAGATGTCGGAGTGACATAGCTGCACAGGGACTGGCTCCACGAGCACTCAGTCCAGCGCCTTGCTCAAGGGCATTTCAGCACAGGCAGTGCTCGGGCAGTAAACTGACACCTCTCCTGCACACGTGTTCCGAACCAGGACTTGAGCCATCGACCCTCTGCTCACCAACCCAAGTCCCTACAGACTAAGCTACTATCGCCTAGCTTTTTGAAAGACTCATGCATACACTTTATTTAAAAAAAAAAAAAGAGCTCTGATCTTTCTTTTATTAATATCAGTATGAAGTCACTCTTATTCATTTGTTATTTCTATGTGATGCTGGAGTGCCCTTAAGTCTAACAATAAGGATGATTGATATTTTGGCCATCTAGATCTACACATAAAATAACCTTTTAGACACATCACACTTTACTTTCTTTACTTTTAATAATTTTCCTAACCTTAAATACTTTCTTATGTTCTCCACCCCTCCATCTTTTTCTACCCTCTTTGGACAATTACTTTTTCCTGCGCACCCGTCTCCAACCTTCCTCCATTGCCTCCCATTTTTTTCTTCTCCATATGGTTTATCTTTTCAGCGGACCAGTGTTACCCAACAACTTGTCACAATCCACCTGTGCTTTATCCTCAATCAACACCTCACTATCTCTCCTTATTCCTCCTCCCTCCTCATCCCTCTAGTTTCTCTGACAACTTCATCCACTCCTTTGTGTATTTATACTCAGCTCAGAGTGGGCGCTGTGGGTTGGGTTTTGCAGTTGATGGGACCCCTGGGTCTGGTTTTGATGTTAAATTTAAAAAAAAAATGTTAATCAGACTCAATCATTACTTATGTATTTTAATTTCTTAACAAAAACCTTCACCTGATCAATTAACTTTTTTTGTAAGCAACCTCTCCTGTCAGTTGTCTTTTATTATTTAGTCATCAGGTATAGCTGAAGCTTTTGTCCAACTTAAATTTTGACACATTGTTTCAATTGAACCTTGCAGTGGCAGTTAAGTGCTGCCGTATGGGAAGTCTACCGTATAAAAATACAAAGTAGAATGAATTATATGGCTTTAAAGGGCTTAAGGTTAACCTTGAGAAGACAGAAAAACTGAATATTTTTTATTAAATTTTTTAACAATTGGCATTCACTCCTCAATGACAGATAACTGGTTTATTGTCCATGGTCGCGGCCCTTCCTCATCTTTTGTGGTCTTGTTAGCCTTGCTCTGACCATGAAGCCAGCATAATGCAAACCTGATAGGTGGACAGCTCGCCTTTGTCAAACACAATTCAATCAGATAAGAGAGGAATGAAAAGGAGAGGCGTATCAACACAAGTCCAACAACTGGATATGCAGAGGAAATGTGATTTCTGTACACGCACATTGACTGAAGAGATGTCCTGTTGTGCTCTAGATTTTGTTCCATCTCTCTAGCAGTTAACAACCTTTCCCACATGAACACACATAAATGCGTACACATTGTTGAGTTGGGGGAGGGACACTAATAAGAAATAAGCAAACATGACTTGATTCTTATAATTTCTGGAACAGTGGTTTGATGGAAACACAGGGAAAGCTATATATGTGTGTGACACACAAACATACACCGATGACATTTTGCAATGTTAACAAACGCTGATGGAAAGACTCATGCTGTTGTATTGATCGTGTATGAATGGCTTTGGATGCTGGTGCATAATGTCATTAAACTGAGATCGTGTGGATGACAGGAATGTACGAGAGGGAATCAATGACGAGGAGGGCAATGTTGTTAGCAGAGAGCGTTTCATAAAATGCCTTTTGATGGATGTATACGGCATGTTAGCAACGTATGGTATTTGACTGGACTCAGCCATCATCCAAATCTAATTCTGAACTGAGTTCATCCTTGTTTAGTCTGGACTAAGATTTCTCCTCCGTCAGCTATTTCATCAAGACGATGTACAATCCATTTTCCTCATTTTTTAGTTGCTTAATTGAACTACTTGATAAATCAGCGTTACTTTTTTGTTGTTTTACTTTGCTGGTACAGAGATGCATCTAAAAGCATCTCATGTGATCAGATCTATAAACCATGTTGCCTAACTTTTTGTCACTAGCTGTCTGACTAAGCTGCTTTCCAAAGCAACTTATCTTAAGTGGATGATCATTTTTGCAGTACAGATACAGTAAGTTGCGTTTATTGAATTAAAAGTGTAATAAAGCTGAAAATCTATCCAAATAAAACGGAGCACCAACATTAAAAGGGCAGAGATACAAAGCAGTTCAACAATACATGGTTACCTCCAATATGGCAGCATTAGAATCCAGATTCTGACTTTTAAAGGGAAGCTATGTGACAAGAGCTGCTCGTGGGGTCATTAACACTTATCCAAAAATGCAGTTGCCTGGGAGAGTAAATTTGTCCCCATTTATTAAAGAATCCTTGGCCTTAGATCCGTAGTTGTGAGTTGGGATTAGATAAGCATCACACATCAAGGTGCAATTTATGACTTAAGTTATTTATCACACTAATGCATCAGATTCAATGAGGAGTGACTAGGGCAAAGTTTGATCAGCAAGGCCTTTTATTTGTCCCACGATGCCTCTTTTTAAAACAGTAGTAACACCCAACTTATGGTGTTGTAGGGCCTTACTTTTGCCATTCTTCTACTTTATAACTCTTCAAATACATTGGTATTGTTCGGTCAATGGAAGATCAAATAAGAGCATTTTTGGTGCAGTTTACATCTAATGTGTAGCTGTTTGAACTTCCTCTACCGCCATGCATTTCATACTCGTACCAAAGAGCTCACACCTGTAACCATCACTTTATAACCAATGCCAAATGCTTTTTGACTGTTTTGGAATTTTGAGTTTTCTTTAAGTTCAGTCAGTTGTTTTTTTTTTAGCTTCAGTTTTTTTTGTTCCTTTTTCTAGTTCTTTTTTGGTTCTAGCCTTTTTTCTCTGGACTTCATCCAGTAACTTGGAGTTCCTCTTTACCTCTTTTTAGCGAAGGAGCAGGGGCCGTGGTAGTAGGTCTCAAAGATTAAGTGACTCTTCCACTCAGTGTATGGATAGACCCCAAGACACGGACGATAAGGTAAGACAGCCCTCAGATCTAACCCTCTCTATGCCTCCAACCCCATGACTGTGGCTCAGTCGGAAACATACGCCCTCAGTTTCACATGCTCTCTCTGTGAAGGGACAGACAAACCACTGATCAATAACCATTTTCAGTGGACATTTTAATGGCTTTGTAATGAGCTTTTACGGAGACAGTTTGTGAATAAAATGGCAAGAGATTATTTATGACAAGAAGAGTGACTGAGGACCTATGTTTGTGTAATTATAAAGAGAAATGGAAAAAAACTGGTATGTGTGCATGTTGAAATCATTTTAAGTCATTAAATTAGGAATTAGGAATAAACTCAGCTCACAAGAAGACACAATATTGGGTTCACGAGTTTGAGACTATATTTTAACTATATTTTCAAGAAAACGTTGATTACAAAATATATGACTGGAATAGTTTGGTTGACTTGGTGCAGTTCAGGGTTGAAGTTGCAACACTGTTTTTTCATTGGATTTGTTTTGCTCTTTCACTGCCCTTTTGTCAAGTGCACCAAAGCCTGTTCAAATGGTGTGTACCATAGCCACCCACCTCTAGTCAGGGTTGTAGCTCCGGTCAGTGCTTTCTGCCAGCCAACCTAAAGCTGCAATATGACCTGTAAGTAAACAACACGACAGTGGAAGAATGGCATGGCGTATTTTGATTGATGTTACCCTGTGTAACCACATTTAGCAAAGGCACGTGGACTTTAAAGGGGTCATATTATGCTTTTTCTGGTTTTATATGCTCTTTAGTGTGTTTTCCAAGTGTCCTGTGCATGTTTAGGTACATCTATGTGCAAAAATTAAAAGTCCGCTGAAATGCGGCTTCTCCTACGTCCTCCTGTTAGCTGCAGCATTAGCTGCATGTAACGCTCGGTTCTAGCCCCCCTCGAAATTTTTTTGCCAGTGTGACGTGTTGTCGGTGTGATATCACTGATCTAAGCCCATTGGCTCGTTGTGGCAAGCCGAGCAGCTCCTGTTGCACGCCCGTTAACTTCTGTAACACGCCCACGATATGCGTAGCCTGCGGTAGCACAAGTAGTGCTAAGGTGCTAATGTTGTTGCTCCCCTCGGAGCAAAGTGGCTGCATTCCCAATATGGTAAAAGGGGCGTGACATTTCCAAGAACTGTGCTGAGCGACTGGCCAATTACAGCAGAGCCGAGAGGCCAACCAATCAGATCAGACTTGGCACACGTGGGGACTCTGAACGTGGGCACTTCAGAGCCTTAGAGAGAGAGTCAGAAGTGAGCCGGTGCATAGAGAGGCAGTACATGAAAACAGACACTTTTTTCAAAGTTTAGCTATTGTGAACATACTTTAGTAGGTACATAGATTAAATATATGAACCCCAAAAAGGGCATAATATGGGCTCTTTAACCTTCAAGGAGGGCTGCAGGTTGGTGCACTTAGTAATGCTAACATTAGCCACGCTCTGCAAACCTGTTGACATTTGCTGGTTGTTCTGAAATACTTGGCCGAATTTAACCCACAATGCACTGCTTTATGTTTCACTTTCCCTGGTTGGTTTGGATCACATTCTCACCTATGGTG